GTTTTTGATTTCAGAACAAGGCTTTCATATAAAATTTAAAAATCTATTACATGTTAAGTATCAAAATTTAGAAAATAATAAATTGAAAAGGGAAGAAAGCCACTTAAAACACAGAGACAAGTTTACTTGTGAGAAACTGCCCGATTTCAATTCTACCTAGAGATTTGTGTCCCATAAAGTATATGTATTATATATATAAAATCATTCCAACCTCAGAGTTTAATTGAAGAGTGAAAACAGATACCCTCTTATCTAATTTCATTTCTGGATTAAGTCAGTAACAATGCACATTAATCATCACTGAGTTCTACAGAACTTTAGGTCTTGCTTGCAAAATATCTTACCCGATTGACAAGCGAAGCATCCTCACTTCCGTGGGCTCTGATGAGCTAAACTAGCAGGACACATTAATTTCCAATCTTGGAGCTGTTTTACAACCCAAGGAAATTAAACTTTTAAAAGCAGGCATATATTAATATTATATTTTCTCTAATTATGTCAAGAACACTTTCTATTATCTGTATCTGAGCACTGAAGTCACAACAACCAAGGTTTGAATCCCAGCTCAAACGCTTTTAGCTATGTAACTTTTAGCTAATTACCTCTCTGAGTTTCTTCATCTATGCAATAATATAAGTATCAACCCCACAGAAATCTGTCACAGACACCGCCATGGAATCTGGTGGCTGCAGCAAGAGGTGGCTGTCCCTCCTCTCCACCCCTTGACCTCCCCACCATATCTATGGAGTCATTTAGAATTAAGTGGGACAGTAAACATAGAGCATTTAGGACACTGTTTGTCACACTGAAGGCACTCAATAAATGTTTAGCTATTACCATTAGGAAATGTGTCCTGGAGACTGGTAAGAAATCTCAGGGGAAGGGTGGAGGCCCTCCTGAGAAGACAATGTTTACTGGCACTGGGGAAAGTAACAGTGGGGCATCTATGTCAGGGTGATGAGCAGAGAACCTTCCAGAACACCACTGGGCAGTCAGTGGCAATCATGCTGAACATGTAAGGCACTGTGCAGGCTCTGAGGATGCGTGGCGAGCAGGCAAGCCAGGTCTTGGTCACACAGAGCTTACATGCTACAGGAGGGAGACAGTTAACTGTTAACAGGCAAGAAAAGACCAGGGGAGATGAGGGTTATGACAGAAGAGTGTCATGCGAGGAGGGAGAGTCATGGACTCACCATGGAAAGGCAGTGGTCAGGAAAGGCTCCCTGAGGCATGAGGAGATGACCATGCACAGATGTGGGGAAGAGCTAGAGAGGCCGAGGCCTGAGCATGGCCCGCTGGAAGAACACAAAGGCTGCGCAGAGGCAGGTGGTGATGAAGGGCTCTGGGCCACAGGGATGACAGCTGCCTTTACACCCTGTGCAGGATAATTACATTCACATACAGGCAGCGGAGTGGGCTCTACTTTACGTTTTTAAGGATGCAACTCTGCCTCCTGGTGGAAGGAGGCCTCTAGGGCTAGCAGCAGAGCTGGCAGTCTGGTGAAGAAGCAACTGCAGTGTCCACAGGGGGATGACAGTGGCTTGGGCCACTGCACCAACACTGGAGGTGGACCCAAGAGGACTCATCTTAGATACGCTTTGGAGAGAGTTCATGCAAAGTATGAGGTAAAGACACCAAAACGTCGGGTTTCAGGCGAGTGACTGGACAGATAGGGTGATACCTACTAAGATATGGGAAGCTAGGGTGAGACACGTTTGAGGCAGGTAGGGAATCGAAAGTCAGAGATGCCAATGTAATAACCTGTTGGAAATGTCCAGCTGGACATGTGAGTCTGGAGCTCAGAGAACCGAAGACCCAAGGTATAAACTTGGGAAGGAGGGAAACAGCTTCCACATGGAGAGCTAATGAAAGGAATGCTCACACTGTAACCTCGCCAGGGAGATGCTCTGCCCCATCGGCAGCTATAATGAAGTCAGCCAGTGGTATGCAGCTGCTGTAGCAGTGATGGCTGGTTGCATGAATCATTGTTTACATGCAGCTGCTCTTAGAACTCTAAGCATCATGTTTCCAAAACATGGAGGCATAAAAACTGCAGATCCATAACAAGGAGAGCCACATTCAGTTTTGTTTCTCACCTCTAACCTAAAAGACAAAGTAATAAGTACACAGAAATAGACATACCATAGCCCCAGGGAATTGAAAAACCATGGAGAACATTTTTAAAAAGCAGTACCTCTGTTTTAAAATTTTAAGACTGGGAAAGATATCCCATGCTCTTGGATTGGAAGAATCAATATAGTGAAAATGTCCATACTACCCAAAGTGATATACAAATTCAATGCAATCCCCATCAAAATTCCAATGACATTTTCTTCAGAAATGGAAAGAACTATCCTAACATTTATATGGAATAACAAAAGATCACGCATAGCCAAAGCAACGCTGAGCAAAAAAAATAAAGCTGGAGGCACAACACTACCTGACTTTAAACTATACTACAAAGCTATAATAACCAAAACAGTATGGTACTGGCATAAAAACAGACACACTGATCAATGGAATAGAATAGAGAATCCAGAAATCAACCCACACACCTACAGCCATCTGATCTTTGACAAA